ATTGGGCTCGGAAGATAAACGGCAGCCAGTGGAGCTCCTTAAACAGGAGGGTTGACCTCTCTCTGTAAGGAGCCCCAGTTAACATCCTGGCTGCTGCCCGTTGGACCAGTTGGAATTTCCGAACCGTTTTCAAGGGCAGCCCCACGTAGAGCGCATTACAGTAATCCAATCTAGAGGTGACTAAGGCATGGACCACCCCGGCCAGATCAGCCTTCGCGAGGTACGGTCGCAGTTGGCGCACGAGTCTCAATTGTGCGAAAGCCCTCCCAGACACCGCCGACGCCTGAGCCTCAAGCATGAGCGATGAATCCAAGAGGACTCCCAAACTGCGGACCTGTGGCTTCAGGGGGAGTGTAACCCCGTCCAACACAGGTTGCCACCCTATACCCCGATCCGGTTTGCGATCGACCAGGAGGACCTCTGTCTTGTCGGGATTGATCTTCAGCTTGTTCCTCCTCATCCAGATAGACACAGCGGCCAGGCACTCGCCCAGCACCCGAGAGGCCTCCTTGGAATTAGGTGGAAAAGAGTAGTAGAGTTGTGTGTCATCTGCATAGAGGTGGCACCCAACTCCAAAACTCCGGATGACCTCTCCCAGCGGTTTCATGTAGATGTTAAAGAGCATGGGAGACAGAATAGAGCCTTGCAGGACCCCACAGGTCAAAGGCCAGGGGTCCGAGCAGGCGTCTCCCAGCTTCACCATCTGGGATCGACCCTCCAGGAAGGACCGAAGCCATGACAGAACCGTGCCCCCGAGACCCATCCCAGAGAGACGACCCAGAAGGAAACCGCTGAGATGTCCAGGAGAACCAGCAGAGTCACACTCCCCCTGTCCAGCTCTCTGCGGAGGTCATCCACCAAGGCGACCAAGGCTGTCTCGGTGCCGTGACCAGGCCTGAAACCAGACTGTGACTGATCTAGGTAATTGATGTCATCCAAAAAGCCCTGGAGCTGGGAGGCGACCACCCGCTCCAGCACCTTACCCAAAAAAGGGAGGTTGGAGATCGGTCTGTAATTGTTCAGCACTGTGGAGTCAAGGGAAGCCTTTTTGAGGAGTGGCCGAACCACAGCCTGTTTCAGATTGGATGGAAAAATCCCTTGCTCCAACGATGCATTAATGATCAACACAAACCAATCAACCACCCCCTCCCTGGCCGATTTAATTAGCCAAGATGGGCAAGGGTCTAGAGCCGATGTGGTCGCCCTCACAGCCCCAAGGACCTCCTCCATGGTCTCAGGAAGAACAAGCCTAAAAGAATCCCATAAAATTGGACAAGCAGATGCCTCAATCACCTCATCTGGTACTGCAATAAAATTGGAGTCGAGCTCAAGATGTATCTGAGCAACTTTGCCTGCAAAATGGTGTGCAAGTTCGCAACACCGAGTTGCTGGGTCGTCGAAGGTCTCCTCCCCCACAGGTGGGTGAAGGAGTTCCCCGACAACCCGAAACAGCTCCGATGATCTGTTTGCTGCAGACGCTATACGGGTGGTCGTGAAAGATTCCCTGGCCACCCGTATAGCCACGGAATATGCCTTAAGAGAGGCTTTAGCCTGTGCTTGGTCAGACACGTCCCGAGAACTCCTCCATTTGTGCCCCAGCCCCCTTCTCATGTGCTTCATCACAGCCAACTCCCTAGTGAACCAGGCGGACGGTCTGTCACGGTGCAACGTGATGGGGCGTTCGGGAGCGATCGTATCTATTGCCCTGGTCATCTCCCTGTTGTAGAGATCAACCAAGGCGTCGACAGAATCACCAGGCTCCATGGCAGGAAGAACCCCAAGATTCCTCAGGAATCCATCCGGATCCATCAGTCTCCTGGGGCGGACCATCTTAATCTGTCCTCCACCCCTGCGGAGGTTAAGGATCGCAGAGAGTCTAAAACTGACCAGATAATGATCAGACCATGACACAGGAAGGATGATTTGGTCTTCCACTCTGATCATTCCACTGTCCGCTACAAAAACTAGGTCAAGAGTGTGACCAGCCTGATGGGTAGGTCCAGATATAATTTGTGACAGTCCCATGGTCGTCATGGTGGCCATAAAGTCCTGAGGTCTTGGCATAGATGTTAAAGTCTCCCAGCACAACCAGACGTTGGGAGACCAGGGCCGAATTGGAGACCACCTCTGCTAGCTCAGACAGGGAAACAGCTGGGTCGCGGGGTGGGCGGTACACCAGCAGAAACCCCACACTGTCACGGTTCCCCGCCCTCAGGTGGACACACTCGAACCCAGATGTTTGCAGAACAGCGCATCTGACCACGGCGATGGATTGCCGAAAGACTACTGCGACCCCTCCTCCCCGCCCCCCCCAGCCTGGCCTGCTGATGCACTCCGAAAACCCAGTGGACACAGCTGAGTAAGATTTACTCCCCCCAGCTCATCCAACCAGGTCTCAGTAATGCAAGCCAGATCTGCCCCCTCATCCAGGATCAAGTCCTGAATGGCAGCGGTCTTACCATTGACAGATCTGGCATTGATCAGCAGGACCTTAAGACCGGGGGAACTGCCATGGGGCCTACCACTTCCTACCTTCTCCAGGGTCGCAAGAACTCTGTTGCGCTTCTCCCTGGGACGATGGTAACCAGCCAGTCTCCTCCCCCACACGACCTGAATGGCGCCCCCCTCCTCCGGTCCCCCCTCCCCCCCTACAAAGTTGGAATCTGTGGCTAGTCAGCTTTCGGGAGAAGTAAGGCTGGGGTATAATCTCCCTTGGATTTCAGGTAGGGGTGTTTCCGATGTCAAGCTGGAAAGAGAGGCATCAAGGGAGCTGAGTGGGCTGAACAAGGGAATTGTTATTGGGCGGGAAAGCGTGGCCGATTGTGTAGGGACAACTGGAGCAGGTGGGGTTTCAAATTGGTACAGATCAGGAGGGGGGGCCCTAACCGGGGAGCTCTTTGTGGATTTATCACAGGGGCCTGATGGAGCGAGGCGAGAAGGTACCACTGTGTCAACAAGGGGGCGAATATGAGGGTCCACAACTACCCTTCTGATGGTGATGCCCCATTTCTTTAGGCAGGATCGCATTGCCAATAGCTCGCCAAGCCATAAATTGTCTTCCGGTGTAATTAAAAGAAAAGTGGAGCGGTCGGGTGACTGGTAATCCCTCCGCAGCCAGGTTATGGCTTTCAGTCTTATTTCCCAAGGTCTTTTCGATAGGATTTGGGCCAAAGAGTCACAAACCGCCCTCCTAGAGGTCCATCTGCCTCTATTTATCATTAAGTCAGCAATGTCCACTGCAAAATTGTCTGTCATCAGGAGATGTTGGTCCTGGGCACAAACTGCAGTTGGCTGAACAATAGGACCTGATGTTAAATTAGCAGCTGTCCTCTGGATATCAATAGATGTCCTCCGCCAGTCCAAGATATTCTCATTCCCATGCATACCCAACAGCCCTCCCCTTCCCTCAGTCATCTTATCATCCATCCCTCCTTCCAACCCAAGGCCCAACTACCCTTTCTCTCCATTTGAGCACAAGTCCTTTTCCTCATTCATCTTATCATTCATCCCTCCTTCCAACCCAAGGTCCAACGAGCCTTTCTCTCCATTTGAGCACAAGTCCTCGGCCTGATCTGCACATGGAGAATTGTCCGCTCTTGGGAGATCGAATCGCACCGGTTTATCACTCAAGGGTCTTAAGTTGAAGCGATAAAAGGTTAAATGATTCTCAATCACTGGCCGATCCTTAAAAGTTGGTCATTTCATTGATTCCTTTACAGCAGGGGTCCTCAAATTTTATAAACAGAGGGTCAGGTCACAGTCCCTCAAACAGTTGGAGGGCCGGATTATAATTTTTTAAAAACCCCACGAATTCCTATTCACACTGCACATATCTTATTTGTAGTGCATATATTAAAATGAACAACAATTTTAACAAATAGAAAGTTATTAGTATTTCAATGGGAAGTGTGGGCCTGCTTTTGGATGATGAGATAGGATTATTGTTGTTGTTGTTGTTGTTGTGTGCTTTCAAATCTTTTCAGACTTAGGTTGACCCTGAGCGAGGGCTGGGTAAATGACCTTGGAGGTCCGCATCCGGCCACCGGGCCTTAGTTCGAGGGCCCGCGGAAGAAAAGGGGGAAGAGGGCAAAGATGTTGTAAGTTAAAAGCCATTGTGGATGGAGCTGTGCTTGTCTGTGCATGCCATCCTGGGGCTGAGCCAAGGGATGAGTGGCCCAAAGGGGACTTCCTCCAGCAGAGACTCATTCTGTGAACGTCTCCACCAAGCCTCAATGTGGTTTTGGATTAGGTGGTGGAGAGGCAGGGTCTTGGTTAGCTGCAATATTCCTTTGGGAAAGGACAGAAAATTTGGTGGCAGCAGGCATCTCATTTGGTGTATTGTGAAGGCTTTCATGGCTGGAATCACTGGGTTGTTGTAGGTTTTTTGGGTTGTATGGCCATGTTCTAGAAGCATTCTCTCCTGATGTTTTTCCCATTTGGGATGCTCAGAAAGCAGACCTGGGGCTCCTGATGGGAAGGGAGGCAGCACAGCCATCTTGGTGATCCAGCGAATGGTGCCCTTGAGTCTTGCCAAGGACCGCTCCTTTCTCCCGGCCTGCCTGCCTTCCATTCCTTTTCCATGTTTCTGTTCATCCCAATAAAATCAGAATGATGCTCCAGAATTAGGATTTCCCCATTTTTCCTTCTCTCATTTCTTTTTTTTCTTCCTCCATCCCTCTCTTCTTCTGAATCCATTCCCTTCTTTTTAAAGAACCATTGATTCCCATGGCTGGTCTCTGGATATGTGCTTGAGGCCCCAGTGTCGGCCTTTCTTGGTATTTCCATTCTCAACGTGACCCATGAAGGGGAAGGGGGAAATCTTGGAGGTAGAGAAGGTCTCTGGGTGTCATCCTTGATCTTTTGCTTCTTTCTTCACCAGGGAAGTGAGGACTCTTTGGAGGAACCTCTTGGATGCAGTAAGGAAACCAATAATACAGGGAGAAGACATCCTCTCGAGGCGATGATCTTGCTGAATTCTTGACAACACTTACAGACTTCACTTCACTTACAGATAACAAAGGAATAAAGAAGAGTCAAGTCTCTGAATTGCAATTAAACACCCGTATCATTTTTGACATGGAGGAGAAAGCGTCTAAATGCCAGGAGTGTGGAAAGAGCTTCACACAGAGGCATGATCTGCAGCAACATGTAAAGACTCACACTGGGAAGAAACCCTATAAATGCCTGGAGTGTGGACAGAGCTTCACTCAGAGTTCAAATCTACATTCACATGAAAGGACTCACACTGGGGAGAAACCCTATTCCTGCCTGGAGTGTGGACAGAGCTTCACTCAGAGTTCAAATCTGCGTATACATCAAAGGATTCACACTGGGGAGAAACCCTATTCCTGCCTGGAATGTGGAAAGAGCTTCACTCGGAGGCAGAGTCTGCAGCAACATGTAAAGACTCACACTGGGGAGAAACCCTATTCCTGCCTGGAGTGTGGACAGAGCTTTGCTGATAGTTTAAGTCTACGTAGACATCAAAGGGTTCACACTGGGGAGAAACCCTATAAATGCCTAGAATGTGGACAGAGCTTTGCTCAGATTTCAGGTCTACGTTCACATGAAAGGACTCACACTGGGGAGAAACCCTATTCCTGCCTGGAGTGTGGACAGAGCTTTGCTCGTCGTTCACATCTACATTCACATGAAAGGACTCACACTGGGGAGAAACCCTTTTCCTGCCTGGAGTGTGGACAGAGCTTTGCTCGTCGTTCACATCTACATTCACATCAAAGGATTCACACTGGGGAGAAACCCTATAAATGCTTGGAATGTGGACATAGCTTTGTTGATAGTTCAAGTCTACGTAGGCATCAAAGAGGTCACACTGGGGAGGAACCTTATAAATGCCTGGAATGTGGTCACAGCTTCACTCAGAGTTCAAATCTACGTACACATCAAAGGATTCACACTGGGGAGAAACCCTATAAATGCCAGGAATGTGGACAAAGCTTTGCTAATATGTCAGGTTTACTTTTACATGAAAGGACACACACTGGGGAGAAACCCTATACATGCCTCGAATGTGGACAGAGGTACACTCATAATTCAAGTCTACGTAAACATCAAAGGATTCACACTGGAGAGAAACCCTATACATGCCTTGAGTGTGGACAGAGTTTCACTCAGAGTTCTCATCTAAATAAACATGAAAGGACCCACACTGGGGGGAAAACCTTATGAATGCTTGGAGTGTGGACAGAACTTCACTCAGAGTAGACCACTACGTTCACATGAAAGCACTCACACTGGGGATTTTTTTTTTTTTTTGTCGTGTCAGGAGCAACTGCTCCTGTTGTGAGAGAATTGGCCGTCTGCAAGGATGTTGCCCAGGGGTTGCCTGGATGATTTTTGATGTTTTATCATCCTTGTGGGAGGCTTCTCTCATGTCCCCGCATGAGGAGGTGGAGCTAATAGAGGGAGCTCATCCGTCTCTCCCCAGATTCAAACCTGCGACCTGTCGGTCTTCAGTCCTGCCGGCACAGTGCTTTAACCCACTGCACCACCGAGGGCTCCTCCACACTGGGGAGCAACCCTATAAATGCCTGGAGTGTGGACAGAGCTTCACTCGTAGTTCATCTCTACATAAACATCAAAAAACTCACCCTGGGGAGAAAACATATATAGACATAGGGTTTTAATATTTGTATGTTTTAAGTTGTATTGCAACGCTGTTAATTTGTGAGCCGCTTTGAGTCTCCATATGGAGAGAAAAAGCGTGATATAAATAAATATCATAATGAGAATCCCCCGCCATGCAGGAAAAGCACAATCCAAGTATCCCTGAGAGATGGCACGTGGAAAGAGCGTCCCTGAGAGTTGACGTCTCCATAGACCTAGACTTCCCATTGGAGGGAACTGTGGTCATTGATCCCAGAGAGACTCTAAGGCAGAGCTTTCCAAACTTTTCATGTTGGTGTCACGTTTTAGACACGCATCCTTTCGTGTCACTGTAATTCAGTTTAAGTAGCCAGACAGAGGTTAAACCAACTCCGTATAAGATTTTCAATACATATAATAATATATACAGATAGGTTTCATATAATATTTCTGTATAAATAATCATTGTGTAGTTTCCTCTGTAGCTGCTCCGTGTATTTCACTGCAGACATTGTTACTAATACATTTTATTTCCTTACATTTATAAACTTATTCATTTTAGTGGTAATTACTGCAGTTCAATCAACAAATTGGGCAGATAAACATGTCATAACAGTACTTGGACTTGAACGCCCCCACACTCCACTTCTGTCGTGAGTATCTGAGGGGAGGAGAATGACCAGGGACACAATCAGCCCGGTGGGAAGTTCTCAGAATGAGACCCAGGTCTGTTTGTTCATTGGTTAGTGTACTTTGTGTGTCCATACGGGAGTGTTTTAGTGGCGTGTGCTTTTTCTGATTTATTTTTGTAGTTGTGGCAGCCCCTCAATGAACTGTATAGTTTTAGGCCGGAGTAGAAGCCTGGGATAACAGTAAGGCAAACCTCCATTTTGGGAGTGTAAGCCAGGGAAGCAGTTTTCTTGAGAGTGGATAGACAGAAGATGGGAGGAGTTTGAGGTCTCCTGGGATTGGCTAGAGCAGAGGGGAGGAGCCAAGTCTTGGGAGGGAAAAAAGTTTCAGCTTCTGAGAAAGAAGGGAGTTGGGATTTGGGAACTGAAGGAAGAAGAAGTGCTTTTGAGACTAGGTTTTTCTGAGAGAGCGTCTCTGTCAGGCAGGGCTGCATAATTGGCAAGAAGGGTCATGTAGCCTCCTGATTACTTGTGGGTGACAACACAAGGGGTTTGCTCTCTAGTTGGAGTAAATTAGCTGTAAAGGACTCTGGTGAGAGTTAGCCAATTGCTCTGAAGACAGCCTGAGTTAGGTTAGTCTGGAACTCATTGCTATTTTGCTGAAGTAGAGTTTGTAACCAAGTCAAGAAACTCTTTTTAAGTAACCATTAAGATATTGTACTATAGTAACAAGTCAAGCGTTTGTGCCTCTTAAAAGAAGAAGTCAGTTGTCTGTTTGTTCTTATAAATAAATCTTTTCTCTATTTAACTTTGAAGAAGCCTCTATCGTTACTCATTCCATGGGTTATCCTTGAGTAGGATTTCTAGTCGGTTTAACATCCTAATACCACAGAAAGGTCTCTTATCCAAGCAGTCATTTCTGGAAGCTAAGGGGGAGCTGTGTTGGCAGGGAAGGGAAAAGGTTACCTCAGAAACTCATTTTTAAAATCCTGAGACATCTTGGGTGGTGGCAGCATTAAACCAAAGGAAGACTGAAGCAGTGTTCGCTCTACCAGTACACTCCTCTAACATCATCTCGCTACCATACTATTGTCCAGTAGTGCGATATACATTGATATTTGGTGTTAGATCAATAAGTGGGATTCCCCCCTCATTACTTTAAAGTGGGGGAACAGTGGCAAGATTTATAATAGCATATAACGTCCCCACTTCTCTATAATTGGTGTCAGCAGGTGGGATGTGATATACCTTCCCCCGGATTCTTTATACAGCCCCTTAATGAACTGTATGGTTTTAGCATTATGTATTGTAAACTTACTATGTTTCTCTTTTTTCTTAATGAAATGCATGTTTACGAGAAGGGGATTCGGAAGGACAAAACCTCCTACTGGAAAGGCAGATGGAGCTGGGGTTCAAGGCAGTGATGGGCAACCTTTTCAGCTTGGTGTGTCAAAATTCGCCAAAAAACTGAGCATAATTCAGGTGGGGTGCCACTTCGTGGAAAAAACCCCCCATAATTTTGCAATATTTATAGTTTAAATAACAAAAATGCATAATTGCAATATATAACTGTGTTCAATAACCCAAAAACGAATGATTTAACTTACCTGTTTAGTGACTTCTTTGTCCATCCTTCAGTCGGTTTCTTTTGTTGGTCTTGATATTATTTAACTTGTGTGTGTTGCTGTAAACTAAGATAACTGAGTGGGAGGAAAAATTCTTTAACTAATCTGCCTATCAGTGACTGTTTTGTTGCTGAATTTCATTGACTAAATGTTCAATGGAAGGTTGGTATTTTGTACACTTCAAGCCCAAGCAAGTGCTACTAGGATCATCTGTCAATCTGTTTCTTTTGATGGTTTTGATATTATTTAACACTGGAAATAAGGTCTCACAACAGTACGTAGAGGGAAAAATTGTGAGTAAAGCCACATCAGACTGCACAGAGAAGCCATTGAAATCCAGAAGCATGTGGGCAATTTCAACAGAAAGGAGGGAACCATGGAAATGAACAAAATCTGGCTACCAGTATTTTTTAAACTCTAAAATCAGGACAGTAAAGAAAGAGCAACACTCAGAAAACAGAGGAATTCCAGGCAAGAATCAGTCAGACCCAGCTAACACCTTCCAACAAAGGATTCTCCTGAGCAGGAAGGAGCCAGACTTTGAAGCTGCAAGGCCATTCAATGCTAATCAAAGTGGCCCACTGCAACATTCACACTTGCCTCAAGAAGAGTCCTTTCTCCCACCCTGGACGTTATTCCACAGATGTATAAACCCTAAAAAATTGAATTCCAGACAAGAAACAGTCAGGCCCAGCTAACACCTCCCAAGAAAGGATTTCCCTGAGCAGGAAGGAGCCAGACTTTGAAGCTGTAAGGCCATTCAATGCTAATCAAAGTGGCCCATTGCAACATTCACACTTGCCTCCAACAGACAATAGTTCTTTCTCCCACCCTGGACGTTATTCCACAGGGGTGTGAACCCCACTTGCCGAATTTCCAACAAACCTCTGAGGATGCCTGCCATAAGATGTGAGCGAAACGTCAGGAGAGAATGCTCCTGGAACATGTCCAGACAGCCCGCAAAACTCACAGTGTAAATCTTTGGTTGATGCCTTTTAATATAGGCATTTGATTGCTTGTAATTATGTGTATTAGCTATGTTGCACCTCACCCTGAGCAGAGAGGCAGATAAGAAATCCAATTATGTTGTTGTTGTTGTTGTTGTTGTTGCTCCTGCTGCTGCTTTCCTCCCCAACAGATTGGCTCTTCGCCCCTTGATGAGTCTAGGTCGCAATGGGGTTAAAATCTAAATTCTTGATCTCAGAGAGACAGAGGGAGAGATGGGGTGGAGACAAAAATAGGATTAAAAAAGGAGAACACAGCGATTGCCGGGAGGGAAAAAGAGGCAAAGTGTGTGAAAAAGAGAACAGGAATATTTGGTCAAACGGATGTTGGGATAAGAGGAGAGATCTAAAAACTGCAGTGAAAATGCCAGGAAAGGGAGGGTGGGGATGAATAGGGAGGAGGAAGCCCTACGAGGAG